TTTCCCCTCTGCTAAGTTCTTGCCTCTCCATCATATCCGTCTTCCATCTCAAAACCTCAGGGGAAAAATCTTTACTCATTTTTAAACCCGAAGGCTCACCCTGGGTCGGGTTAAAGCGCCCTGGAACCCTTATTTTTCCTGGGCTCGGACCTTGTTCAAATTCTCCTCCATACCTCGGTCTGCAACCCATTTTTCTTTCTCCTTCCAAGTGTATGTCCTTTTCTTGTCAATCGGCCCACTTCTTCTGAGCTTATCGTGGTCCAAAGCTGGTAAATTTCCACTTCTTTTAAGCCTAGCTCTTTTGGAGTTTAAAATGGCCCTTGGGCCCTGCTTCTTTCTAGATCTGACCCTTTAACCCGACCCTGCCCACACTGCCTACGGGTCTGTTCTACCCTACCCGCTTCTTCCCTTTCTCCTCAACTTGCAGAGCCGCTGCATATGTATGAGTTTTACCCACATCAACTGTGAACTGAATCGACACCTCACAATGAGGGCATCTGTTTCGCCTAGCGGTCACTTTGAACTGTTAGCACCAAGTATTTGCCCCTTTTATTCTTCCCAAACGCGAGCCAAAGTTCATAGTTTCTCTTCACTAGATGTTTAGCCCAAACCCCTAGCTTTCTTCTCCACCAAAACTCGTCAAGTGCATCCAGCAACCACTTAAACCCATCTTTTTCCAAGAATATCGATCTTCTGAAGCCTCATCCATTCTCGTTGATTCTCAAGCATTCTGCTTTCCAACCCTCGCAGACCAGAATGAAAGATTTACTTTCAATGGCGAAAAATCTTCTCTCGAGTGTTCTCATGAAGTGATCCTCGCTTGGTCGGCCAGAGCTCGTGGGAGGCAGAAGGTTTAGAGAGAAAGAATATTTAGAGAGAGAGAGCATATTGCTTGTTATGGAAGAAAATAATCTCGGAAAAAGAAGATTTTCATGCGTGTATTAGAAGATAGGATGGGGTAGAATGGTGAGTTTATAGCTGGATGAATGAAATAAGGATGGAAAAGTTGTATTTCCCACAATTCATTCCTTGACTTGGAATAAAGAGGCAACAAGGCTCAAAACTTTCTATGGCACTCTAGGCAACGGTGTTTGGATGGTGGACCGAACCAAAAGTCCAAATGATTGGGAGGCAAAAAAATATGTCAGGTTATCTCAACGTTTCTCCCCAATGCAAAAGACCAAACGAAACCCTCGATTAGCCAACTTGAAAGTGTAAGTAAACCGCTGAAAGTTTACCATCAACATAGAAGAGTGAAAAGAATAGTGGGGGCCAAAACAAAAATTAGTTATTCGGCTATTAAGGCAAGTTGCCTATTATAGAATGAGCAAGAAGAGTTAGCCATATAAATAGGATTGTAAAAGAAAGCAAGGACTTATGGAAATTCAAATATACAATTCAAATTTAAATTCTCCCTACCGTCTCTCTTCTTTACTCTCTCCTTCTCTCTTACTCTATCCTTTCTATTCTCTCTTTCTTCCTTAATCTCACTGTTGTAAGCCGCCATACCCATAGTCGAAGCTAGATGATCAAAGCTTCTGACAGAAAGCTCAACCCGAGAGGGGTTTTTTCAATGAAATTCTCCTACCTACATTTTGCAAAGAGCAAAAGTATCGATATAGTTCTCATGGAAATAGATTCAAAAGATCAAGGCATCACCTAAAGTGGCCTTCTTTTGCTAATGGGTGTTATTCATTATGAATGGGTGTTATTCATGCAAGAGAGATGCAGAGTCTAGTAACCATCTTCTTTAGTCTCCGCTTTCTTATTGACTTTGGACTATGACATAGTTTTTTGGGGATTAATTTGGTAATGGCTTGCTCAATTAAAATAAAAAAAGGGATTTGGGCATGGAGAGGCATTTTCATTATTCATGAAGATTAATTCGTAGCGGGTAGGTGGAGAGGCATCTTCTTTATTCACAAAATGAGATTTTGTGAATGAGTGTTATTCATGCAAGAGAGATGCGAAGTCAGGTAACCATCTTCTTCTTTGGTCTCCGCTCTCTTATTGACTTTAGACTATGGCATATAGCTTTATGGGGATTAATTCGGTAATGGCTGCCTCATTAAAAACAATGAGATTTGGGCATGGAGAGACATCCATGGGGAAAAAACTATAACAAGAATCTAAGCTTTATCTCTTTGGTTACTTTATGGGTCATTTGGAAGGAAAAAAGTAGACAGGCATTATATGTAGAATTGAATCATAGGATTTTTGACAATCACTCTTCCTTTCTCTAAGATTTGGGAAGAGGACGACATTTTTGGCCACCCTATCGCCGACATCTCAAGGGAAACTTTCAAATATTGCTATCACTGTGTTACACAAAATTTGGGGGGAAATAATTCATCCTCAGAGGGTTTGAACAGATGGGCATTACAGCGAGAATTGAATCATAGGATTTTTGCAATTGCTCTTCTTTTATCCAAGATCTGGGGAGAGGAGGACATTTTTGGCCACCCTATTGTCAACATCACATGGGAAATTTTCAAATATTGCTATTCTTGTGTTACACAGAAACTAGGGGGCAATGATTTCTTCATCCTCAATGGGTTTGTTTGTCACTAATATGTGCTTTTAAGTTTTATATTAGAAGATTCTAAGAGGATATATTATTCTCTATGTAATTACACCAATCTCATGTTTAACAATACTTCTTTTTCTAAAAAAATTTGCTCGAGAATTCTTAGGTTTCTTTACAAACAAGACAATTGAAAATAGCCTTCTCAAAAAGAATTGAGTACTGCTTACTGCTTCCAAAAGCACACAAAGATGTAGAAATGAAGATTTCTAGGCTTAGGGGACATTTCCCAACACAGCACTATGGACAGCAAGTCATTGAAAATCTTCCAAGCCACAGTGCAAAATATGATCATTATATTCGGTGCTGTTAAAGCATATGCACCAATATTTACTTCAAAAAAAAAA